CCATGGGAACGTTATGAAGTGACGTAATTACGCGACATGAACATCATTGAAAAGCTGTAAAACAGGAAACATTTTTTCATATTTTATTTATTCATTTTTACAGAAGTTGTAGCATATTCCTTTTGTAAAGCTACAGAACTTGTTTGACTCATCAATGTTTTGTAAGTTTGAGCCATGTGTTTTTTAAGGTCTGAAATAAAACAAAATGAAATATTCCAGCACTGTGATGTAGTAGCCTATGCTTGCTTATCATAGGAAGTAATAAGAAATAGCTCTTTACATTAAGATAGTAGCCTAGTGAGAACAGGGTGTTAGGGAATCACTTTTTCTCTCTTTTTCATCAAACCGCAGTTTTTGCAAGTTCCCGCAATTTCATCACATAAAATTGCATAAATATCCTGCATATTCCATCGCCGCATAATCAAGGATTTAAAAAAGATTTATTACAATTTTATTACAGTTATATGAATTCATTAATTGTGTATTTATTATATGAATGATTAATATAATTATGCATTTATATAAATAAGGCTGTTCTATTATTATTTGTGAGTTGTACACTAATACATTGGATTATTTTATTTATTACAGTTTTTCTTTCACTTTTGTAAAGTGAAAAGTAAATATAAATTGTATTTTATTGTTTTGATTTTGAGCAGTGAATAACTGCTATTAAAAGATAATAGGGTATCACTGTTTATTGCTGATTTTAAAGCTTACTTAACTTGAAACGATTTGGATATCTACAGTTCTACATAAATACACAACATAAGAATGGCCCCTCTGTAATAATTGTGGCCCCTCTTGTGCCCCCCAGTTGAAAAAATCCTAGAATCGCCCCTGCCCTTACCATTAGACTGAATAATGCAAGGACACTAGACCTCTGCCAAAAGTGTGTCTGCATGTGTTTAACTATTAGAATATAAAGCTTACAACATGTCTATCATAAACTAGCGCTTAGACCCAGAATCTGCCCTACCTACGGTCAGGAGCCGCTACTGCTATTGCCCACAACATTTAGCCTTAAATTTCACTGAATTCACTTGTGTGGAACAAAGGTGTAATGACAGTGAATGGTTCTGAGTTTGTGAGTCCCTAACATTGTGCCTACCAAAGTCATAGCCTATTAAATGAGGATGATGACAGAAATGTTCTTTTTTGGTGAACTATCCCCTTCTGTTGTGTGTTATTGAAAACAGCTTGTATGTTAACATCCATCACAGGTAACAAGAGCTTCGTTTGTATGTACATTTGTGGCCGTGTGTGATTTTTACAGACAGTTTTCAAAGGTCCCAAACATCTCTGAGATGATTGTTCTCTAGCGGGCAGGCAAACAGACCAGCACGGGTTTGTCCTTATGCTTCTTATAATATTAAAAACAATTCTGAAAGAATTATAATATTCTGAATTGCATGAGGTTTTTTTTAAGAAGCAATTTGCATTCAAAATGATGTAAATCGATCTTTTGAATAAATACTGAATAAATACCAGAATTGAGATTTCTGTATGACACAGCTGAGATACTGAAACAATGACACCAACCAGACGTTTTCAGTCTGAAGTTCGAGACTATAGGGTATGCTATAGTGAATGCTGATGAGGAATGGATCAAGCTGCTCTTTGAATGCTCTGTGAAGACTCCCTCAGGAGTCGGAGCTCCTGTATCCAATGCAAAAGGAGACTTTCACTGTCGAAGTGTTGCAGAGAACATCCTTAGCATCATTTAGTACATGCAAATAAACACTTTTAGATGACAAACAAGAAAAAATGTTTAAAAGAGTCTAAGAAACGTGAGTACCAATGTCTTTTTAATTTCTGCAATTATACAAAAATATATCAGTTTATATTCAGTTTATTGTAGACACAGGTCCACACAAACCTGTATGTAGTCATCTTAACAGCAGCACACCTTGTGCAATAATTCAAAGATAATTTGAATTGTACATATAATCTATCCCTACATTTGCGGTTCCCAGATAGATTAACAATATATTTTTTGTTTATATATATATATATATATATATATATACACACACACACATACATACATACAAAGACAATACAAAATGTTTATAAAAGTTGCATAAAACATAAAAAAAAAAAAGATTTCAGGGTAAGATTCCTTCATTAATTGTCTTGTCAGCACAAGTGCTTATTATTTTAAGCATAGTGAAAAGTAAGATTACTTTGGAAGCATTGGAGTGGAAGAAAATAAATGCCCTTGGGGAGCAGACTGGCATGTAATTGCTGCTTTTTACATAACAGTTTGACACATCCAGAATACAGGGATACAGAGACGTTGACAGAAGAAGACAAAAACCTTTGGGCTTCGTAGACAGATTTCAATAAAGCTGAAAAGAGAAAATATGTTTTTACTTGATTTTTTTCAATATATGAACTGAATAATCTCTCTTCTGGAGTGATGGTATTTAACAACTTTTTGAGAACTGTAATAAACCAAACAAATGCATTATAAAAGTATTTTTTTTTCTTTTGAAATTGGCATCCTGTGTTAAGGACATCTAGGCAGAAAGAGTTTGAGCATTGACACAAACAAACCATCACTTCATATCTTTGCTTATTCTGGTCAATAAAAATAATTTGTAAACTGCATGAGATCTGTAAATTTACAACAATCATTATAACATATTCTACAGTCCAATTCAAACTTTACTGCATACAGTACCCAGGTTCATTGGAAAAATGTGCCTGACAACTTTCTGCAAAATTACGTTGCCTATTGCGTGCATCACAGAGCTTTCAAAGTGAAAATTGACCCTATTTGCTTTGTTAATGAAACTGAACCTGACTATGTTGTATTACGTTGGTTGTTGTATATATTGGTTCCAGTTTGGTAATGAAATGCCTGGAAGGTGTCGCCTAAAGGTAATATACCACTTACACTAAACCTAACCGAGTGTTAACAAAAGCAAACGCGAGATAAAAACGCATTTGCAATGCCCTTTTAGCTTGCTTCTACAAATCTTTGAGCGTTTATCGAGTGTCATGACTTCACGTTTCACAGTTTAGTGCTCAGCATCGCATGCAGTGCTGTACCAGGTGAGATACCCAGCAAGTTTACTACGTGAGAAAAGCCTTACATGTGGAGCTGGTCATGTGATGCATTGCAAACAGAAAAATGTATTAGTGTACAAATCATGCACTATGGTAAAGGGGTTTTGGGGTCATAACATAGTATTGTGCAAGTAACTATTCAAAATAAGTCTTTATTAATTGATAGTCTGCCCCTTTAATCATAATTTGTGTGAAAAGGAATATAGGTTGGTGTTTTATGGCCACTAGAAAATACAGTGAATTGAATTATTGGCAGGTTTTTGGAGTTTTGCAAAAAATGCTGGTAGAGGCACATTTTTCCAACAAGCCTATGTCGGAAGAAATTCAGATAGATTGCAAAGAGATAAACAAACAGTATTTTACATTTGAGGAGGGTATACCATATCATGTGCAATATTCAGAAGGACACTTACAGTTTGGTTCATGTCTTGATAAAAACACAAATGCGTGAATTTGATTCAGATTGATGAGTTTTAATTCGCTCACAATCACACTAAGATAAAATAAATCAATTTAAATATTTCAATAATGAGTAATGTACGGTATTCTAAAATATTATATTTGGCAAGAGGATGAGCTTTGCTGTGTGTATATATAGCATTGGTGTTTAATGAGCTGCATTTAGACGATTTAAATACTGCTAGATAGCGATACACAAGTATGATTGTTAGTTCTGTCTTATTCACCAGGTATATGGACATACAAACCCAATTAGTCCAAATAGGAAGGAGACAATATGACATATTCTGACTGTTGCTTTAGCAATTAGAGCCAAACACAATCTGTGTCAAGGATGTCTTTTCTCTAAGGTCACTTTACTGTTTACACTGAGGCTTTTCTTTATTCCACAGTCATTGGTATTGCTAGAGCTCCACATTATGTGAACACATTAATAATAAAGGAATATTTCCACCCAAAACTAATAAATAAAACATTTTTATTTTTTAAACAAGTTTGCTTCACTAAAAGAGATGTTCAGCAGAATGTTCGCACTGCTCATTTCCATACAAAAAAAAATCAATATGCATATTCATATATGTATAAGTTTTGAATACGTGTTTTATGTGTTGTATCATATTGATACAGCAGGCTTTTATGGCCCGTATAGTATGATATAGTGAGAATATAGAACTCACTCTTGAGGAGAAAAAAACTGAGCAAAAGTATGCAATTTAGTGCAGATATTGTTATTCATATGGCCAAAAAGTAAGAAGTTCTTGTAATGTAAATCAATGAGATTTTTCTTTATATAAGTATAACAGACTACATATAAATATCAGTTGTCACTCTATTTCTAATAATAAGTCTTAGTAAGATGATATTTAATGCTTAGTCTTGTGATCAGAGTTCTGTAGTTGGGGGTCAAAAATATAATTTAATGCAATACAATGATTTGAAAGATGTACTAATAAACAATCCTCAAAGGCCTGTTGTATCATTATTGACATGCATGCATTTTAACATTCTTTTTTTCTTTTTCTTTTTTTTTTTACATTTTTGTGTGTGGTCATTTTGGAGCTTGACAGTTGCTGGTCACCATTCACCTTTTTTGAATGAAAAATAGCACCATGAACATCCTGCCTAACATCTCCTTTTGTGGTCTATTGATGGGTGAAAAAGTCAAATGAGTTTGGAACAACATTGGGGTTCATTTCTGGGTGTACTATCCTTTAAGTTACATAGGTTATTGTTATTGCCTTCAAACTAAAGGTGATGATACACAGGGCAACTTTTTGAGTAATGTTTGCTGGGCAATCTTGCCGAGCGATTGCTGCTTGGGCACTTTCCCATTGAAAATGGGCAATACATTTCTATCTGGATAATTTAGGCCGGTCGTGGGCCCTGCGTCTCATCTGGTTGCCCGTTGATGGCAACATTGCCCAGCAACATTGCTCAAAAAGTTGCCCTGTGTATCACCATAAGTCCAGGTGGTTAGTATATGGGTTAATCCACTGGTAATGTGTTTACTGGTAGTGTGCTTTTCAGAAGTGACACTGTATTACTAAGGTTTTAATGTGTCGTCAACATGCCATCTTTGTGTGACAGAGCATCATCTAAAGCACACATTTTAGGTTTCATACTTTAGATTTTATACTTAAAATTGTATAATATGAATTTGCAAATGTCTTAATGCTGCATTGACAAAAAAAAAAAATTCAAACACTGCACTGGAAATTAACTTTTTTTAATCAGTATTTTGGTCTTGTTTTGCAGTTAAAATATCTAAATCTTTGAATCAACACAATATGCCAAAGTGGTAATAAATGTATACTTATTTCAGCAAATATTGTTAATTTACTTTTAGTGATGTAAAGTTCTGAAGTCATATGACAGTTTACTGAAAAACAAGACAACAACACTCATTAAGAAAATATTTTTTTTGCAGTGTAAATGAAACAAACAAAAAATAGTAAAAATCAATACATTTTATATTTTGGTCTGAAAGCACGACTAAATCAGATGGTGCAATGAATTCACTGAAAGTGCAAGAACTGACATCTTTGTTAAATGTCATGAAAACCCATGAGAGGTTAGCAGCAAGTCAGTTCAATCTGCAGAATCATAAGAGATGAAACTGAAAAGTTATATATAGCAATTCCCTTCATATATTACAGCTGATAAATCTATTTAGTGGCACAAGAAAATCTAATCTGAGGCAAATTATTTTTCAATCCAAAAGCACGGTGTAGAGGCCAGTGTGTAATGTACTTCTAGTGGCAAAACACAATCTGAAAAATAGCTCTGGCTCAGAGGCACTTCATATAAGCAGAAACAAGTGAACAAAAATATCCACTAGTTCCAAATGTATGTGCAACTTCATAGTTTGTGTGCTGGCAGGTTTTAGTGATCATTTCAAACCTACCTTTCATACCACAATTCTTACTTGGGCTTTTAGATATTTGCTACCGTGTTGTGTTATTTGAGTGTAGTGAAGAAAGTCTCAGAAGCTCGATTCAGGCACCGCCTTCTTTCTGCCTAGTGAATTTGTGCTGTACCGTGTGCGTTGCTGAGTGTGCTGAGAGCCCCTGTCCCCGGGCGTGCTCTGCGGCTGGGCCACCGTTGTGCCGTTTCTGTGTAGAGATGCTGTTCTTCTTAAGCCTGGATCCGCCTTGCTTTGAATATTGGAAGAACTTTGTGACCGTTTGATGTCTGACAACCCACGACTCACCTTGCCGTTCGCAAGTTCACCACCGAGTCTGCTACGACCTTGGTTATTGCTATCGGCTTTACCTTCTGAAGTTCTATTATGTGTCCCGTTGGAGATCGAAACACCAGATGGGCTCTTCACCCCCGCATCACCCATTTTCATAGATTCACTGTCTCGAGACCTCCGAAGTGAGTCCTTCTTCATGAAACCACCTTTGAGAAAAGCGAAGACACTATCGTGACGTTTTGTCTCCTGTCCCTTTTTCTGTTTTTCCTCTGGTTGGTCTCGCTCCTCGCCTGGGTTATTCCTCTGCATGGTTTCACAGCTGCCTGGACCACGGGAACTGGATTGGAGCCCTGCACTAGAGCTCTTTCTGGACTGCGATTGTTCCTGTTTTGATTTTCTGCTGCTCCGTCTAGTCAAAGTCAAAGTCCCATCTTCTCTTGGTCTACTGTTGCTGCTGGATTGTTGGCCTGTGTCTTTCTCTGAGCTACTTGCTTGACCCTGCGGTATTTTAAGATACTCTAGAGGTGCGAGGCTGCTGTGGCTTGAAGATTTGGCTGCAGGTTTTCTCGTATCGTTTTCTTTACTGACTTTTTTATCTGAAGGTCGAGTCATTAGGGCAACAATAGGGTCTTTGGTGCATCTTGGCCTCCTCCCAGACTCTAAATACTCCACTAGCTCTGCAGGAGCTGGGCCAGGAGCTGAGGCAGGTTTGTGGCGGTCTTTGTTTCCAAAGGACCATCGCAGTGGGAGCACTCTGGTCTTGGTGGGACTTTTCATGCTTATGCTACGCCCTTGGATTCCTCGCACAAAAGGTCTGGTTTCGAACCCACCTAAAGACACTGACATTTACACAATACTCAGTACATGGTGGAAAACACTTGCCCACAACAAAACAAGTGAACAACTATGATAGAAACTCTGTCAAGCAACATACTTACATTTTTTACATTTCTTATTTACAATGATAAGAACAAACTTGCAGGGTACACACTCACCTCCCTTCTCGATTGAGGGCTCATTTTGAAAGACGGGAGACTCTGGGGAGTCTGGGATGGTAGAAGGGCATGTTGTGGAAGACCGTGAAACCATACTTCCTCTTTTACTGTCACCATTTAAACGGATGAGCCAGTGGTCTGACATGGAGGAGCTGGTGGAACCTGCACAAGGAAACAATCAAGACTGTTTAGTGGCTGCTAGTCCATGTTTCTCCTAGACAAAGACATTAAATAAGCTGCCCCTTAATTTTAATAACTAAAATAATGTTCTGTATTATTGTTTCCATGACGACCAAGTAACACATGCCCAGTGGTGGCATCTTAGCCGCCAGTCAAATGAACCGAAACCAACTAAAAACATGTCTTAAGTTACGACTCTAACCATGGTTCCCTGAAAAGGGAATGAGACACTGCGTCTGTTTTAAAGATGCAGTGGGAACTCACCTGCGCGATTATGTCTGAATCACATGTCCAACTTAGTCCAATGTCATTGGCGCAACATCAGCCCAAGACATGTGACGGCGTACCATGGAAGCTACGTATAAAGAGTACCCGCAACAACACAGTGTCAGCAATGATTGTGTCAATCAACATACTGCAAATTAGGGATGTGCCCGAAGCCTAATACCTTATTCATTAAGGCACGGATAATGGCTCCAAAAATAAATAACGAATTCTACCAAATAACAGAAAAAATAATCGGCAGACTAAGTCACTTCTAATGTTTGCTGGATCACAGATGAGCCAGGGGATAGCACAATATACACACCTCTTAAATCACTACGCAATGATGAGTTTGTGAAGTGAATGAGTGTAAACACTATGAATGAAAAGCGTGCAAATCAAATAGCCACGCTTCAGTCTCTTTCAGAAATCAGAGCTTGGCAAGAGAGTAATATCCACTAAAATACATCATACACATTTTCTACTATTTGATATGTCTATTTAAATGATTTAAACCATGTATGATATTATACACGAATTAATGAAATTAGCGCAACATGAACGCAAATCAAATAGCCGCGTTGACGTATCTGCACGTCTCTCAGAAACCACCTATCTGTCAAATCAACTAAGAAACTGAATCATACACATTTTCTACTACGTATATGTCTATTTAAATCTTGTACGATATGATAGGCTACATGATATTTCTCTGTCTCACTCTCTCTCGGACACTGCAAGCATTGAAGGATTTAGTTTTATTTGTTCAGATTTGTTTTATCTGAATACAGATTTGAATAATTTTGAGATTGTTACAGATACAAATATTGGCTCCGCTGCACACCCTTACTGAAAATACTTTTGATTTAACTTGCACTGAACTAATTTAAGAGAAAGTGACCTGTTCAACAGTCAGAAAAACTGGTCCTACATGTCCTCAAAATTCTGTCACTGTCACAACACCAAATGTATTCTTACCATGACTGTGGAACCTTCACATTGCATTAATAGAAATGTGCTTCCTGCCTAACATTGATCCAATGCAACAAACAAAATGTCAGTCAACCTCCATCTGAAACGTGGCCAAAAAGGCTCATTCACTGACCTCTGACTGAGCTGTTGGCGGACCAGGGAGGGATGACATTTCTTCTCTGGTAGAACAGGATATATGCCCCTCGAGTGCACAGTTCCTCCTCTGGCACAAGCTCCACGCTGCTGTCGTCATAACTGTACCAATGGCCGTCCACTGAGTTCCTACAATAGGCTGTTTTTCACAGACATATGTTGAGTGGTGTGTTCACATCTATTGATTTAGACTTCTGTTCATGTTTATTTATTTATGTAGGGTTAACGATTTAATTAGTGGCTCATGCATTGATGAGTTTCTAGGGAACATTTAACAAAACAAGAAGTGTAAAAGAGATGTAAATGCATTTTGTATTTTGTTGTTGAACTGGTTATAATCTGAGTAGTCCATAGTAACATGGCCATTTCACCCCTCAGTGTCCCTCAGTTGTGCCATTTTCATTATGATTGTATTTAGGTAACATAAAATGTTATCCAATTATGCCAAATTTCATTTTATTCCCAAAAATGTTTAAAATGAATATTATACACAATTCAAATAATTTGAGATTTGAGTTGTGGAAATGACTCAGCAAAAAAGCAAAACAAAGTAAACATTCACCTAAAATGCAATGTATATTTGAATTACAAGACATTGTTAGTTGACAAAAAAACTAGTAAGAATGTGTCTTTTTAGTTTTATATTACTGAATGAAATCCACAAAGCCAAAATCACATAGAGCTAAAGAAACATCAAAAACCTCTTGTGTAACAATTATAAAATAGAAATGGTTTTTATATAGAGAAACAAACCCCTGCTTCAATACTATCAGAGACCCCAGCACACTCACCTGTGTAATGGCCTCCATGCATGCCTCCATGGTGGTTGCAGACAGCATACAGGTCATAAAGGAAGTCAGTATCCCCATGTTTCCAAGTGGAAGGCCATGGGGCCAGATTCCTCATGCTCTGACTGCGTTTCACCACATGGGGAGTCATATCCAGAGCGCTCACAGGGAAGTGGATGAGGGAGGAGAGCTTGTTTCGCCGTTTGCCCACCTGCCGAAAACGCTTCAGGTGCAGAATGAGGATGTCAGGCAGGGTCCATAAGCTCATCTTCACCATCCCCTGCTGCATCTCCTTGCAGTGAGGGCACTTCCATGCATCGTCTGGCGCCAGCTGCAAGACAAAGACATTTGTTGAAATGCAAGCAGAATGTAGCGCTTCTCCATGGTCAACTAAACCATGTCATTATCTGAACCTGTTTTGACTCAGTGTGGTGCAGTAAAACATTTATGTCTCAGAAAAACACTGTTGTGACAGACTGGAATGCAGTGAACATGCAGAGAAGAAAAGACAACAAAATCTGAATATTTACAGAAGCTCTGTAGACCACCAGTAACAAGTTATCTATAACTTCAAATTATTTAGCCTATAATAGAAAAAAGGCATGATTTAAATTCCAGCTGGACAGCCATTGCAAAACATATAACTGAAGTCCTAAGTGTTGCTTCAGTAATGACATGACACTGTTAGAGGATCGATAATTATTTGTGGAACCAATCATGATGAGGTAACTCTCAGGGGATCTTGGGTAAGATTTATCAAGTGTTGCTTGCCCAGAACAGGCAGTATATAGAGAAGAATTAATTCAGAGTGACCTTCCAAAGAGTATGTATGTGGGATGTGAAAGATAAAGGCGCTAGGAGGGAAACCAGGTCCATTTGCTCCCCAAGTGAGTTTTGTCTTGAATAATCTTGGAATATGGAAAATGTCTAACGCCTTGAATTTCAAGCATAAATTCTGTAGAGAATATTTTCTACTTCATTAATCTCCGCTATAGTGTCAAAAAGTAACATTTTGTATTTAATATTTTGACCATGTGAGCGCATATTTTGCTTCTAACTATTCAACAACCGCATATTGTCCGACTGAATCAATTAATTTAAATAAATTCTTAGTCTGGACAATTATGACTGCTACATAAAATCAAATCAAAAGCTACTACCATACTAGAATGATAATGGATCCTAACAGCATAAATGCTCTACTAGAATATTAATTTATATAATTGGTGGCTCTTATGTTAGATTGTAGAGCTCTCTACACTGTACATGTAATCACATTTTTTTTTTTTTTTTTTACTTTTCCTCATGTTCAGTCCATATTTTTAGAGCTGATTTTAGTTTTTTTTTCTTTCATCAAACCCCACTTCATATACTTAACATTAGCCTCTGAGACAAAAATACAGATGATGAGAGAAACAGGCCACTTCAGAGTGTCTGCAGAGGCACTAAACTCTATAATAACTAGACAGGCCTAGAATAGAACATGAAATATATCAAATGTTAGGTAAAAAAAAAGAGAGGAACCAATTTTCTGCCATTTTTCAGCCCTAGTTGAAAAGTCATTCTGTCATTATTAAGTCATTCTAACCTAAAATTCTGTCATTTATGTGGAACCCAAAAGTTGTTTTTGAATAATTGTTACACAAATTGAACTGAATAAAAAAGGTATTTGCATTGTTATAAACAATTTCTATTTCAAATCAATTCTGTTCTTTTGAACTTTCTGTTAATCAAAGAATCCTGAAAATAAGTTTCCAAAATACATGAAGCATCACAGCTGTTGTCAACATTGATAATAAAAATGTTACTTGAGCACCAAATCAGCAAATTAGAATGATTTCTGAAGGATCATGTGACACTGAAGACTTAAATAATGATGCTTAAATTCATTCAGCTTTGCCATCACAAGACTAAATTACATTTTAAAATATACTAACACAGTATCATATATTACACCCAGTATATATATATATATATATATATATACACATACTGTATATACTGTATCTGTACGGTATCTCCCTGATCTACACATAAATGACACTGGTAAGAAAAGAGAGAAAAGAGAATGAACTGAGAGTGTGATTGGAGGAAAGAGTACCTGCTCCTCTTTGGTGTAAAGCTGAAAACACTCATCCAGCGTGCAGCTGTGCTGCTGTACATGATTCTGCTGCTGGATTCTCACACTCTCTGCATCCTCAATAACTTCCTCTTGAATGTTACCAAAGAGACTGAAACAGATATGAAACACACAATAATTCTGACTTTCAAATGATAGGCCTATTACTGAGAAGACTCTTACTAATACCGGTAAAATGACACAATGGTTTTAAATTAAATGAACGCAGCAGCATGTATCTCACCATTCTTTGATTCTGTTCTCCCATTCAATCACGAGCTTCACATGCAGAGGACCACCAGGACCGCAGAACTTCAGGGCCCTGTGACAAAAGACATGATTCAAATTGTGAGTTCGGTATTCAGCCACTAGGTGGCAGACTATAATCAGTGTTAAGTTCATAGAATGAATTAGCATTAGACAGTAAGACAGTCACAGTCAATTTATAACTTAAAACCGTTTAGGGTCAGAAAGTTATTTTGGTATCACTTTACAATAAGGTTCATTAGTTCATGTATTAACTAACATGAACTAACAATGAGCCCCAATCTTACATTTGCTACAGTATTTATTAATTGTCTTTGTTAATGTTAGTTAATAAAAATACAGCTGTTAATTTGTTTGTTCATGTTAGCTCACTGTGCATTAACTAATGTTAACAAATACAACCTTTGATTTTAATAATGTATTAGTAAATGTTAAAATTAATATGATCTAAGATTGATTAATGCTGCCGAAGTAGGCCTATTGTTCATTCTTAGTTCATGTTAACTAAGGTAGTTAGCTAATGTTAACTAATTAACCTTATTGTAAAGTGCAAGGACTGCTGAAGGTGATCAAATACATTTATAAAAGATTTCCATTTTATATAAATGCTGTTCTTTTGAACTTTCTATTCATCAAATAATCCTGAGAACATTCAACATCGTAAATAATAAATGTTTCTTGAACAGCAAATCAGCATGTTAGAATGATTACTGAAGGATCATGTGACACTGAAGATTGGAGTAATCATGCTGAAAATTCAGCTTTGTCATCGCAGGAATAAATTACATTTGAAAATATAGTAAAACAGTTATTTTAAATTGTAATAATATTTCACAATATAATGGTTTTACTGTATTTTGATTCAATAAATGCTGTCTTAGTGAGCATAAGAAACTTATAACAAATAAAACAAAAACAAAACAACTTACTGACCCCAGACTTTTGATCTTAATGTATAGTATAATACATAGAATAACTTAAGGATTTTTGCCTTTGATTGTACAGTAAAGGAGGGAGGGTAAAGGAACTACCAAGACGGGAGGTATGACTGAATTATGACCACATTCAACTAGGTCATGACTAGACTCAACTATGATGATTATGTTGTGCCGCTGTGATACGGCTCTAATCTCATTTTGTTTTTCTAATAAGAACATATATTTTAACCCGTATAATCATTACAAAACAAAGACAAAAGCGTGAGGAAAATATAGAGGGAGAGAGAAAAGGAAAATGTCCAGAAAATAAAGTAAGTCACAGAACAATGGCCAGCTTCATTTATCCTTTAAAATTGCAAGTCTAAAAATAGCTTTTCTATTATTATTATTATTATTCATGGTAATTACCAGGATTCGTCTGTAGTTCTCACTATCATTACAGGTCCTCAGACTGAAAAAAATAGCCTATGCACACATGGCAATAATCACCTGGCTAAATAACCAAGAGAGAAAAACAGCATTTACAGCCTCGGCCCTCACTGTTCACCCGGTGCAATTTTGCAAACAATCGATCAAATATGACAGAGGGAAAAACTGCGGCAGAAAGGAGTGTGACGTAATTTGAAGATGTGACTGGAGCATGGCTGAGTTTTACTGAGAGCTGGGCTAAAGCCAGATTAATTCTGACGCGCAGTCCGTCTGGGCTAATTGCGATTGTTTCTGAGAGGATTTAAAAGCAGGGAACAATAATTCAGAGACGTGAGGGGAATTCACTTGGATTCATCAACGCTGGCCTATTGAGAAGACAGCTCCACACACACACACACAGGAGTTTTCTTATCTTACACTTAAACTTAACTCGTCTTACACTAACAATTTACCTTATCTCAAACTGAACTTTGGGGATCTAAAACAAACAAACAAACACACACACACACACAAACACACACGCACAGTAGTTACGCTGAAACTTTGCGTTACACTTCAGTACGTGTTTTGCAGTACGTGTTCTTACAGTGTGCTTACCCAAGAAAGTACTGGTAATATAAGGTAACTACATGGGTTAAGGTTAGGTTTAGGGATAGGTTCACGGTTAGTACCTACCTATAGTTATAACCCAGCTATTGTAACTGCTATAATAAGTACATAGTATGTACATGCGAAATAGGACTGTAAAATAAAGTGCTACCAAACTTTTTATTGTTTTTTCCTGTTCTCTGAACTTCTGTTCATAGAACCATCTTTTTGATGATAAATGTTTGTGGCAACCATATGCTTCCTGTCATTACTTGGAAAATGTGGTCGTCTTAACTCAATCTTGCTTGTGAAACCTCTAGATAGATGAATGAATACATCTTCAGCAATGGCTGACAAACTTAATTACTTGCACAGTTAAACACTGCTGTCTTTCAGCACACAAGAGCAGCAGCTTGCGTCAGAGAACAGCAGGTAACCACATGAGAAATGGAACGTCTCTGCTATCATCTGAACATCATAATTACAAATAAACAACCTATTTATACAGTGACAGACATAAATGAGAGTAAACAATGATGCTTTGGTAAGAAAATATGATCAAACACCTCTGCAACATGTTAAAAACATTCACATCTCCAAACCTTACAAAAATGTACTGTTCGAGTCTGGTATAGTGATGCTGTCAGATGGTAATACCATGGTACTTTTATATATACCATGGCACTGAATGATGACCATATTCATTTTCATATATATATATTGATATTTCCATGGTCCTCCGAGGTACTTAAAAAAACTGGGGTATGCAGTGTTGGGGAGTAACTAGTTACATTCAATGTAATTCAGAAATAAAAACATATTATTCATGCGTCACTTCATCTATCCCATCTATCCCTGTCATTTCTTTACACACACACAAACGTACACATTACCATCAAACCCAGAATTAGTTTGTGGTTTCATACATAATCTGCACTAAAGATTAGAATTCTATTGAACTCTCATTTAAAAACCTTAAACTTTAAAGTAAAACAAATTTACGAATAAAAACATCAGATTTCTGTTATATTCACTTCAGAGAAAGGAAAACAGCCCAGAATAGCAGGCAGAGGAGCGGATGAGGCTGCAGTCACGACTGTGGAACTAAGTTTTAAGCTGTTTAAATTGAGAAATGGATCATTGGCTTTTGAGACTCGTGTGCGTTACACCTACAGCACTGTGAGGATGAGCTCTTCATGGTTTAGCTTGTTGGGTTTGTCTCTCTAGAGCCTCACAAACATGATGCAGAGAAGAGGATACAATTAGTCCAAACTAGGTTAAAATACTGTGATGTGGGTGTTTGGAGACCAATTAAAAAGTTTAAAGCAGCTGGAGATATTAACTTTTACAGTAGCAGCACTGCACTGATAAGGACTCAGGGTGTATAAAACATATGGTTTGGGGTCAGAAAGATAACAAAAAAAAAACTTTAATTCTGCAAGGATGTGTAACGCTGCATGAAGGTGTAAAGGCGAAGAAATGCAACGGTATTTTATTTAAATGAACAAAAAGATAATCCAAGGAGACAATGCTAACGATGATCATTATCCAATGGAGAAACTGGCAACAAAACAGCTTAGTCAAACTAAGACACTAACCAACAACTCAAGACTAAAACACTGAGATAGAAATACAAGAGTTATGAGTGAACTAAACAAGAAACAGGTGAAGAACATATTCAGTAACTATGGTAACAAACGAAGTGTGTACTAGTAACCTAGGAACTGAGGAAACAGAAACAAACACAGGAACAAAAGGAATGAACAGAAGATCAAAATAAGAGTCTCATAACTGAACTAACTGAACCGTGACAGGATAAGAAATTGGACGATAAATTGATCAGTGACAAGACTTTTACATTGTCCAAAAAAAATAAAATAAATCTATTTCAAATGAATGTTGTTCTTTTGAACTTTCTATTCATCAAAGAATCTGAAAAAAAATGATCACGGTTTCCACAAAAAAATTACGTTATTCAGCTGTGATAATACTAAGAAATGTTAATTGAGAACTAAATCAGCACGTCAGAATGATTTGACACTAAAGACTTGAGTAATGGCTGCTGAAAATTCAGCTTTGCCATCACAAGAATAAATTACATTTTAAAATATATTAAAATATAAAACAGTTATTCAAAATTGTAATAATAATTCACAATATTACTGTTTTTACTGTATTTTTGACCAAACACATTCCGCCTTGGTGAGCAAAAGACTTCTTTCAAAAACATAAAATAACATTTGTTCTTCAGGTGGGGAATGGGCTCACCTGTCCACAGTTGGGTGGCACAGAGGTCTGCTGTCGTTGGGAGACAGGTAACTGCAGGAAGCCGACCCACCCACCACACGCATCTTAAACAGTTCAGTAGTCTGTGGAAGGCAAAACACAGCTTTCTAGCACAAATGTAACAATTCTATTCTTTATTGTCTATCTCTATTCTCTAACTATTCTCCTAAGTTTCTCCTACGATCTCCTGAGAGTTATGGATTCAGAATAAAGTCTGTTTACTCCCTCTTGTTTACTCCTCACCTCAATCATGCATGCTGCACACCAACCCCTGACAATATTAAATAACTAAGAAGAAATGATACCTCAGCATCAAATCAGCATATTAGAATGGTTTCTGAAGGATCATGTGACACTGAAGACTGGAGTAATGGCTGCTGGAAATTCAGCTTTGCCATCAAAGGAATAAATGACATTTTGAAATAAATTAAACAGAATGGAATAAAAATAGAAAAAAGTTTTAAATTGAAATAATATCACAGTTTTACTATATGTTTGATAAAATAATTGTAGCCTTGGTGAGCATAAGAGCAGGGCTGCCAACTTTTGAGTACAACTTTTGTAAAAAAAAAGAAAGAAAAAGGTTTTGGTCACTTTTTGGTGCGATTGCCAAAGGTTTTGGTAACTAAACAGAATTTCCTTAAGTTTAGTGATAACATGTTACAATGTTTACATGGTACAATAACTGGTAGCCTACTGTTAGGCTTGACTCAAATTTCAGGATATAAATCCTTTCGCTTGAGATTCAGTTCCGATCCTGATTCAATATCGATTCATTTGGATAAATATCAGGTACAAAATCTCTCAACTAATGCTGTAAACATACAGGGAGCCCTGTCAGCTGGTATTATTCTTAAAGGTTAAAATTAACAACTCAAATTAATATAATGCGTTTTTTATAATAATAACATTTTACTATAATATGTAATAGGCCTATAGTGCTAATATTTAGCAAAATACTCTATAGTATTTTTTTTCTTGCTTACTTGCTTACTAAGGTAAATGTATAGAAGCTTGCTTCCGCCACAGAATAAACATTTTCGAAAGATAATTGCCTTCTGACTTTTTTCCTCAGAATTGCGAGTTTCTCTCTCACAATTCTGACTTTATAACATGTAATTGCGCAATTGCGAGATAAAAGGTCGCAATTATATATCACGCAATTGCAAAATAAATGACCTTTTTTATTTTTTATTCTGTGGTGGAAACAAGTTTCCATATAAATGTAACGTGACATTTTTTACAAGCTGTTTAATTGACGTCTATCCACCGTTGAAACACGGATGGAGCGATTACAAGAGACATGATTCATTTCAGCAAGTTATACTACACGCAGGATTCGTCGTTCCATCAGTGATCTCAAGCCTTGTCCAGAGGCAGTAAATTAGCCCCAAACAATAATAATAATGCCACCACTGTGCTTTACAGTTGGGATTATTATCATATTGAATGCAGTATTTTGCTTTTCCCCAAATGTAATGCTTCTCATTTAAACCAAAAGTTATATTTAGGAATCTGTCCAAAAGACATTCTTCCAATAGTCTTCAGGCTCACGGTCTCTGGCAAACATTAGACGGGTAGCAATATTCTTCTTGGAGAGTGTTTGCTGGATGGTGGACTCATAAACACTAATCTTAAATAATGTAAGAGAGGCCACAGGTCCTTTAGATGTTACCATGGGGTTCTTTCTAGAATATAAAATGTCTTTCTCCTGGAGTGATATTTGTTAGACAACCACTCCTATGTAAAGTAAAATTGTAGCTTCTTACTTGTATAGGTTAATAGCAAGTCCTGTAATCTGATAGGTGGAAAAGAGTTTTGTGTTCTATGCATGTGCGCTGATCAATGTTTATATGTGAATAAAAGCCTGAATTAAATCTGTTCGTCTTATAACACGATCGTGTTTCTTCAGAAGACTTGGATTAAACAGCTTGATTCGTATTACTTGTACCATCTCTTTATTAACTTTTTGAAGTTTGAATTGAGGGAAAGTTTCATTAAAAATATCTTCATTTGTGTTTTGAAGATGAAGTCTTATGGGTTTGGAACAACATGAGGGTGAGAAAATGACAGAAACATAATTTTTTTGGGTGAACTAACTCTTTTCAACTCCGGGTTTACCTTTGTTCAGTTGACCAGGGCCAATTGGATCCCATTAATAATTACCTTATTCCAATGACCTTTTCAAATATCTGATAATCCTAAAGGTTCACATGCAAGTAAGTGACAACATATCAAAATTTTATATAGGATTTAGAATAAGATCTGATCCTTATAAAGATCAAATGTTTTCTGCAATATGGAAAATTCTTAATTCACAAACTTTCTGGCATCACTGAAAATAATTATGAAATTCTCTTGATAATATCATTTTTTGGGGGTGAATTAATGCATTAAAAGAGGTTTGAAAAAGGGCATTTGTTTATTCCTTTCTCTGGGAATGACAGTAGTATAGTGGAACTGAGGAAGAGAGGAACATCAAGATTTTAAGCAGATATAGAACAAAATGGAGCTGCACCCAAGCGTACAGAGTGATAAATTAAAGATTTAATGGGAACCAATTAACAGATGAAAACGGCAGCAGTCTTTTGTTTGAGGAGGTGAGTTTATATTGGTCCTTTAATTTATTATCCTGAGAAGACGTTAAAACAATACAACTCTGCTCTCTGCGGTACTGGGCAATATGTTGTACTGAAGCACTTAGAAGACAATGTAAGATCTCTTGTGTCTTTCTATCTCATTAATTTTCTGAAACATGTTCTAAATACATTCAGTTTGTTGTAGAGCTCAAGTCTCCTAAACAATCTAATGGGTCTAATACTGTAAGAACAAATAACTAATGAACAAGACTGGTGTTACAAAACAGTGACATCTATGGCATTTAAATGATATGAATGAAGCTGTAAGTTAAATATATTATACTATGGTAATTCAAAATATATTTAGAATTTTAATTCAAGATTATTCACTGACTTTATGACAAACTTCATGAATCTTAAACAAGAATCTCTTTTTTGGGAAACCGGATCCAACAGTGGATCAGAGGGCAGCGTTGGCACATGACCATTTATGGTGACATTCCTGCATATTCAAACTTATAAGGAAATAACATAGCGCTTCAGCATGTATCTAAGGTAATGACTGATGAATAATAATTAACACATTTGTTCATATTCAATCAGTAAGTCCAACAGGTGTATACAGTACACATGACCATTTCTCTTTCTCCTCATCTCTCCATCTCCTGTATTGTATATTTTCTATATTGCATCTCCTATAGTTGGTCTGTGATTATCCATCCCTCATCTGAATATTTAAGCTTGCTGGGAGAGCAGTGTCATAATTATCGAGAGGCTTCTGTCATAATAAAGAAATTCAATATCCCATATACCCTAGCTCTAACAGCAGCACATTGCACGAACATCAAAACCTGAGAGTAGTAATCTATGATCATCTCACACTCACCTTTACGATCGTATTTTTTTTAAATAAGTAAAGCTTATTGCAGACACTCTGTCGCAAATGATCCCAAGAAAGAGTCCTTTCTACTCTCATCAGGAACGGAGGCCCAAACCTGGAGAAAGAAAGCAAAAGTCAAAATGAGAGATAGCACAATTTTATGTTGACCGAAGACTTATTTATTTTTCCCTGCATCACTACTCTAAGATTATCTGACTATATAAATATGCACTTTCTCAATCCGGCAAGCTCTAATCTGATTGGTTGACATTACAAGAGTAAGGGTGTCATGTTATACCTGTTTAAGACTCTTATTCTGAAATATATTTCTGTTGCATTGCTTCGGTTTTCCCTTCCTGTTTTTGAGATTGTTTCCATAGTTACCAATTATGGTTTTCATGGTTTCTGATTATGTTCACCTGTGTCTTGTTTAGTTCCTCATTTACCCCTGTATATATCTATCTAGCCCTGTAGTTCGAGTTTATCCGTTTTTGTCTTGGTTAAACTAAGCTGCCATCTCAACAATTTGGATTATCTTCTTGTTTGAAATAAACTACTGCTGCAATAAATCCTTGCCTCACTCTTCCCTCCCTGAACATTACAAAGGCGACACAGCATTTATTAAGTCATGCTTGCTTGTTGAGGATGAAATAATCACTGGATTTGCCAGAGTTTGCCAGGTTAGCAACATCAAATCTTTGAAAGACATTCAGAGTTTAGTTTGAAGCAATTTATTAAGCATTAAGTTAACTAGATAGTCTGTAGAATCTATAAAATATTTCCATTATTTTTCCAGTGTTTTCTGTATAAACATTGGTAGAGATTGCTGTGCCCCCTTTTATCCACACCAGTCTAATATTGTGGTATAAACTGCGGTCTCTTGCTTTATGTATGTCGTTCAGACCATTACCTCCTGTCTAAATGGACAGTTATTGGCCAGAATAAGCTGCAGTGTGGTTTGTCGTTTCGTCAGCTAGCCAAACTGCTGCACCACACACAAAAAATAAGATTTCCCAAGAACTAAAATAGTCACTTCCCCAGTAATCAGATATTACAGGTAGTCCTGCTCCTAACTAGTGACATTCAAGCAAACAGAGCAATGTTTTGAAAGTGCTACAGAGCCAAAGCACTCACACTCTTTGGGGAAATTACCTACGAATGGATTTTTTAAAAAAGTTGTCTCTGCACATTAAGTTAGGACAGGATCAAATTAACATTGCAAAAGTTACACAATTCACCTCTCCACATTGAAAATATGAACCTACTTTTTGATATAACTCTTATATTTTGTTGCAATTGTTGAACCAGAAAGGCAACTTCACTATCAAATGTCGGCCAGAGGCTGGGAGGCATCTGCCAATAAGGTGCAGTACACAAACTCTTCCACTTCCTCTTTCTCTCTCTCTCTCTCTCTCTCTCTCTCTCTCTCTCAGGCCCTAAAATGTCATCCTGGCATTTGTAGGTGTTCCAGGGGAATATCCGTCATCTGTTTCCACCCATTGCCCTGTGTCCACGGGTGAGGGAGTGAGACTTTGATTGACAGCGGGAGGTTAGGGACAAAGACTGCCAGATGCAGCACTCCGCAGAGTCCAGTATCAGTGCATCTGTAGTTGGATTTATTCATTATATTTATCAATGAAAGGTTAGATTTTTAAATTTAAATTTTTAAAGAAAGATCAAAAGGATAAACAATGCAGATTTATTTTTTACAGCCATCATTGGTCATATTTACCAGGGGTGCCAGTAATTCTGACCACAACTGTAATTATAAACATTTAAGCTCCATTTAACTATCCATCAAAGAGGTTAGAGCATTCAAATTTCAGGGAGGGATTCAAGCAAACAATTTAGGGTTCAGTTGGCAAAAAGGTTGGGAAACCCTTAAATGGGATCCTTCTGTAACATTAGGTTTAAGATAGTGAAGTAGTGGTTTTGTCACCTTGTAGCTTCTTGGCCAGATCCAGCAACATTGCAGAGTAACAGGAGGATCTTTGAAGAACCACCCTGATTCAAGAATTCTGATGATAATGTCCCTGAGGGTGGTAACCTGTGACCTTTGGGCTCTGCGGTGTATGGGGACGAAGGGAGGGAGTGATGGATCCCTACGAAAGATAAAAAGAAACAAGCATCGTATTAAACATCAAAAGTGTTGCAAAATAATAGTGTGTAATTATAAATCAGTTCAGTGATAAAACGAGAACCAGTGCCATCAAAAATAAAAATAAAGGTTTCATACATTTACAGTGAGTTAAAGGGGTATTTATCCAACAATTCCATTATTTTTAATTGTTTACATTTTCATATTTTCTCTGCTCTGCACCAAGTCTAACAATGCCCCTTAGCTGTTATAAAATCACCGTAAAGCACAGGTTCTTTGGGCTTATTGCTTCAATACAGTGCATCCGGAAAGTATTCACAGAGCTTCACTTTTTCCACATGTTGTTACAGCCTTATTCCAAAATGGATTAAATTACTTATTTTCCTCTAAATTCTACAAACAATACCCCATAATGACAATTTGGAAGAAGTTTGTTTGAAATCTTTGCGAATTAGAAAAAAAATGAAAAAACGAAAAAAAATCACATAAGTATTCACAGTCTTTGCCATGACACTCAAAATTGAGCTCAGGTTCATCCCGTTTCCACCGATCATCCTTGAGATGTTTCTACAACTTGATTAGAGTCCACTTGTGGTAAATTCAGTTGATTGGATATGATTTGGAAAGGCACACACCTGTCTACATAAGGTCCCACAATTAACAGTGCATGTCAGAGCACAAACCAAGCCATGAAGTCCAAGGAATTGTCTATAGACCTCCGAGACAGGCTTGTATCAAGGCACAGAACTGGTAAAGGGTACAGAACAATTTCTGCAGCATTGCAGGTCCCAATGAGCACAGTCGCCTCCATCATCCGAAAATGGAAGAAGTTTGGAACCACTAGGACTCTTCCTAGAGCTGGCCGCCCGGCCAAACTGAGCGATCAGGGGAGAAGGGCCTTAGTCAGGGAGGTGACCAAGAACCCAATGGTCACTCTGACAGAGCTCCAGCGTTTCTCTGTGGAGAGAGGAGAACCTTCCAGAAGAGCAACAATCTCTGCAGCACTCCACCAATCAGGCCTGTATGTAGAGTGGCCAGATGGAAGCCACTCCTCAGTAAAAGGCACATGACAGCCCGCCCGGAGGACTCTCAGACCATGAGAAACAAAATTCTCTGGTCTGATGAAACAAACATTGAACTCTTTTGGTCTGAATGGCAAGTGTCATGTCTGGAGGAAACCAGGCACCGCTCTTCACCTGGCCAATACCAATACCAGCAGGAACTGGGAGACAAGTCAGGATCGAGGGAAAGATGAATGCAGCAATGTACAAAGACATCCTTGATGAAAACCTGCTCCAGACTGGTGCAACGGTTCATCTTCCAACAGGACTACGACACTAAGCACACAGCCAAGATAACAAAGGAGTGGCTACGGGACAACTCTGAATGTCCTTGAGTGGCCAGCCAGAGCTAAACCCGATTGAACATCTCTGGAGAGATCTGAAAATGTCTGTGCACCGACGCTCCCCATCCAACCTGATGGAGCTTGAGAGGTTCTGCAAAGAAGAATGGGAAAAACTGCCCAAACATAGGTGTGCCAAGCTTGTAGCATCATACTCAAAAAGATTTGAGGCTGTAATTGGTGCCAAAGGTGCTTCAACAAAGTATTGAGCAAAGCCTGTGAATACTTATGTACACATGTGCTTTTTTTAAAATAAATTTGCAGAGATTTCAAACAAACTTCTTTCACATTGTCATTATGGGGTATTGTTTGTAGAATTTTGAGGAAACTAATTAATTTAATACATTTTGGAATAAGGCTGTAACATAACAAAATGTGGAAAAAGTAAAGCGCTGTGAATACTTTCCGGATGCACTGTATGTACTGACACTGAATATGTAAACGTACAGTAGGTGGTCAATATGCTCTTGGTGATGTCAATATATGACTTCTCAATGACCCATTTTTGCAGCTCAATTTCCATAAGTGGCTTAAATGGAAAGCGTGAGTGTTATATACCGTAGTGTGTTCTCTTACTTGTGTTTTCTATACAGTATGTTGTGTATCAGTATGTGTAGACACCAAGTAGCACTGGTTGAAACATGGATACATTTATTCCTGCATCAATCTTATAACTACCCTTTGGTTTCCTTGGTGACTGCTGGCATGCTCTGATCTTTCACTTCAATCAGAAGTGGATGTTTGATCCTGAATTGTGATTAAAAACCAACAATGCAGGACGACACACACACGCACGGTTTACGGGGACTCTTCATAGGTGTAATGGTTTTTATACTGTACAAACTGTATATTCTATCCCCTAACACTAACCCTACCTCTAAACCTATCCATCACAGAAAACTTTTGGCTAGTGTAAAACACTAAATAACACAAACACTAAATAGCTGATTTTTTGTCATTTGCCTTTCATTTCATGTAAGATGTCTGACAGAACTCTATGCTTGTAGACTGTTCCTAGACATTAGATTCTACATATAATATGAATACAGTTACATTGACGAATACTTGACACCATCAAAATAAGTTCTGGATAAATATTGGTTCTCTTTAGCAATCCAATGAGATAAGTAGCACGTGCTTATGTACATGTCTTCTTTTCATGGCAGCATGGAAATGTTTCTCTCTCACTCTCTGATTCGCTCTCTATCGTACACTCACAGCAGGCCTTACTCGTCATTGTCTCATTTGAGGGCCAGCTGAAGCAGATTGAAGAGGGGAACTGTGAGCTTGTGAGAACCATAATTAAACTTGGCCCTCACTGACACACACATACATTTCACACTTTCTCAGATGCAAACACAATAAAACCAACCCACAGTTTGAATGCCTTTGCAGAACAATGCACTCCTTTTTGGATATTATTCTTCTGTTCAGCCATGATTTTATTTTAAGGCCAAAGTAGGAGCCATTAGAGGCTCTTAACAGTGCTGGTTAGTTGTAGGTCGTTAGTTTTTAGCTGTAACTGATTACATGTAATCTGGATTACATAATCAGATTCCAAAACAAAACATTTGCATGATTTCAATTCTCTGATGTCAGGTAACGGTCATAATAGTCACACCTTTTTGTGTTTTATTTTTGTGTTATAGTGTTTTATTTGTATTGTTTTTATTTTAAATAAGATTTTTTTATGATTTAATTCATTATCAGCTTTATTTATTGCTCCTGTGTTGTGCATTTGTTTGTGACACGTTTACGATGATGCCACGGCCACCCACTTTTAAGCAGTACTAAACTGCAGTGGAAAAGCTAACCGAGCCAAGCCATACCATGCCGAGCCATACCATGCAGTGGAAAAGCGGCATAAAATTTATAAAAAAGTAGTCAAATTGTATTACCTAAAATGTGTAATGTAATAGATTACATTACTCTTTAAAATTTTTGTAATGTCATTTGATATAAGTAGCGTATTACACTTCAAGAGTAATCTATCACCCACTGGCTTGCCTTCAGTCTCAGCAGTTTTCCTTTGTTACCTCACTATATGGAGCAATACTTTGAAGATGAGAAGATTTGACATTACTTTGCTATAGGAGTCATGAGTTTCAGAACTGAAAACTTCCTTGTTAGTCCAAAAACATATTTTATTGTAACCAAGCCCAGAGAATGACTCGTTATAGAATGTGCCTATAGGTGAAAGACAGACACTGCGTGTTAGTGAGATGACAAGGAGAGAGGAGCGATACAGGATAACTGGACTACAAATAATATTACCTAAAGGGTCCTAATGCTAGGAATGTGTTTTTTTAATTTTCAACAATGTGAATGTCTCAGTTGAGCATTAGTTGTTTGTTCGGTACATCTCACTGTGAATTCACTTGTAAATCAGTCGCAATTTCGGCGCAGGCTTTGCAAACAGACTTTTACGATATGGCCTTGACAGTAATGCCACAACATGTAAGTAACTGTTAATTACAATGCATGATCTGTGACCAGTGATTTCTGATATGTAATGATTCATGTAGCTACAGTCAGACATTCTTTGTCTGTGTGTCAGTAAATCAAACCAGTGACTAAACAGTCAACTTCACATTGTTTCTCTTAGTAGGATGAAAATAATCTTATTTAGACTGATTAAATTATATATAGAAAGTAGGGGTGTAACGGTACACGTATTCGTATTGAACCGTTCGGTACGAGGCTTTCGGTTCGGTTTTCGGTACGCATTTTTAAACCGAACAGTTCGTTGGACCATTTTTCCTGCCGACCAAAATTTCGTTATTTCAAATGCGTGGCAAGCGCGCTCATAATGTAAGAGACGCTGGCGTAACCACAACATTGCCCAACATCAAATGGCAAATGTAATGTAAGTGGAACGAAACTGAGCTACTCGTTATTGTGTGGTTGACGGACCGTTTATCAGTTTGGACCAATGCAGCGCGAGCCGATATTAATCAAGCAGCACTGTTACTACACAGCCAAATCCAGTAAAGAAAGCATTTGAATTCGCCACTGAAGTAATTACATCGCTGCGAGATCTAGTGAGAAACATTCACATTTCTCCGTTATTAACGGATCAAACAGCGCTGACGTGCAAACCAGGAAGAAACATTGTGCCATGAATGAACTATCCAGTGTCCACAGATCAGCAACATTCACCATGGATTTACTGTAGTAACACTACTAACTGTAACCATGCAAGTTTGGCAGGAATAGTATAGGCTATAATGCTTTCAAATAACATTACGTTGGTTTTATTTTGACATTATGAATACAATTGCTGCCCTCAAATGTTAATCTGAACTAAAATAAACCTTTGTTTAGAACTACTACAATATTACATTTCATTTTGTCCAAGGAGCTGTTTTGTTTTATATGCTCCTAAGAAAGTAGCGAGAAAGTAGTCAAGTATAGCTCCATCATTGCTCAAAGTAAAAAAAAAATCATACTTTATGTTTTAATAAAAATATAATTTAATAAAATTAAATCAAGGAAATTTCTCTGGCATTTCTTTCTTTTTGCTGTATCGAAAACGTACCGAACCATACCGAACCGTGACACAAGTGTATCGTATCGTTACACCCCTAATAGAAAGCAATCAA